TTTTCCCTTTAGGTTTACTAAGCTTCCTGCTTTTTATGGCTTGATAATTACTACAACCCAGAACCCTGAGTTAAGCAGTGTTAAACCTACTCAAAGTCAGAAGATGCCTGCTTTTATTGATCTCAGTTGATCTGTTTACTCTCTGGGTTCCAATTTAATGGTTGAATTGATAATTCATTTACATTTTTAATGTTGTTGTGGGCAATACATTTTAACATGAATCATCTCTTAACTTAATGAGTGACATACAGAATCAGTTTGGATTTTCAATTTCAACAAGTATTTATTGTACATCTGAGTTCAGGTGAACTTATCAAGGATAAAAATGTCATTGAAGTTTCTGATAAAGGTGATAGAAATAATAATCATATTTTTCTATTATGCAAAGCTATCACTTTTGAGTAACCACCCCTATGTCAGTGGGAGGGTAGGACATTAACTTTTGTGTCATACACCTACTAATTATACTTTAGCTAAGCACAATTTAAAATATATAATGTCCACACCTTTGTTTGAACTCCTTCTTAAATTAAATCCATATGTCACAGTGATTTGTTTTCCTTTTAGATGATTTTGCTTTGCGTGAGATACAGATATAGTGAGAAATTACACTGTGGACAGGTCAATGTAATGTGAAATAGCATGGTTTTACAACTAATGAAATTCTCTATTTAACAAAAGTAGGCAACTTGGAAGATTTAGCTACACTTATGTTCACAATGTAATGTTCTACCTGAAGGCTCTTTGAATATGCTCATGGAGTTCATTTGATGATGTGTTTTCTTTCCTCAAGCAAGTGAAGCTCTAAAAAATGCCTGCTTATGGCTTATTCCTCTCAATAGGATTGTTTTGAATATAATACTTATGAATTCTATATCAAATCACCTATTAACTTCACTCCTTTCTAAAATGAGATGAGGCATAGGAAAATACATAAATGCATATTTTTAGCCACAGTAGTCACTTCTATGTGACAGAGTTTGATGCCAAACCAGAGTTTAATGCCAAATAGAGGTTCACTATTCATTTTCTGAGGAATAGTAAGTACTACTGTTTGGTGAAAAGGACAGTAAAAAATGAAACAGCAATGAAATATTTGAAAGTGCTTTCCTTTGAATTTTTACTGTCAATTTTATTAGTCTCATTACCAAATGTATAGATCAAGTAAATGAGTTAATTCTGAAGAGAGAAAAAAGTTCACATGTCCAATAGCATTAGTTTTCTGTGTTGAATTACTAAGCTCTTTTTTATTTATCAGATCTATGAAAAATAGCAAATTAAAAGTAAAAATAAGATAAAATTTCAATTTTCATAATATTTCAGTTTCATAGGCATGTGAACAGATCATTGAAGTAGAACATGAAGTATAATTCTTTAATTTCTAAAGTACTATTGAACAGTCTGGGATCTCACAGAGTTTAGGAAGAGATAAGAGTTGAGTGTGATGGTGGTGAATTAGACAACCTTCCAGCATGAAAGTTGTGCAGAGGTTTATCCATATTATAGGACAGCCTCAGGAAACAGGATTTGGAAAGAATTTAAGGATGTATAGGAAATGATGTGAGAATATAAGCAGTGTATAGGATGATGAAGAGGACCAATTATGATAAAACTACATATTTTCATAACAGAAGAGTGGTGTTGGTAGATGATGGTGATAATGATGATGATGGCTTTGATCGTGGCCTTGTGAGTCAAAGTTCCTGTGACAGTGAAATGGAGCAAAAATCAGCTGATACAGATACAGAGAATGCAGATCTGCTTGATTCAGATAACAAGGAAAACAGCAAAGCAAGTACATAATTTCCAGTCAAAATGCTGCAAAATGGTCATGCAACCAAATGGAATGATCCAATGTTATAACTACTGTCTTTGAAAATACTGTCCAAAAATACATAAGGGTCTTGGCAGGGGTGAACCATATTGGACAGAACACCAACACTACCACTCAATGTTGGAAATTATATCAAATAAATTCTATGAGGTGCTGTGAAATAATCAAAGTCTGATATTCAAGTAAAACAATCTGTATGCACACAATAGCTATATTTGAAAATAGATTTATTGTGACATATCACTAGCTAAACTAAAGTATTCATATATCTGCTGTATTTAGCAGGGATTTCTCATGGCAATCACAAGAATATAAAAGACTTATGGAAAAATGATGAATCAAAATATGACATAAAAATGTATGCCCTTGTAGATATGAAGACTCATTATGCTTTCAATTTAGAAATTTATACTAGAACTCAGTTTCAGGTCCTTGTTTGTATAGTAATAAACAGAATGATGTTATAAATAGATTTGTTATTTCATCACCCGGACTAATTGGAATGTAACGTTCAACATTGATTTACCAGCTTCCAATTGATATTGCATTTGCTAATGGAGCACAGATGACAGTGCTGGAACTGTACACGGGAAAAAAGCAGAAATTCCAAAAGAAATGCTATAATTTCAAAACAGAGAAGTGTATAGAACAAGTTTTGGATTTCAGAAAGATTTCCATCAACACTGTACTATGACAGAAATATTGATGGGAAACCTCAAAAAAACCCAGAAGCCTGAGATAGAAACTTTCAACAAAACCAAATGTGGAATAGATTCTTTTGATGAGTTATGTAGCAGCTATGATGCCACTTGAAACACAAAGTATTGGCAGGTGGTTATATTTTACTCCATGTTAGATGTATGGCATAAGTAATTTGATACTTTACAAAGAAAATAACAAGCGCAAAGTACCATGGAGAAATTTTCTTAGAGGACTGAGTCTGGAATTCGTCAGACATCATTTAGAGCAGATAGAAAACAAAATGTTTCTTCTTAGGGAACTATGCACACACACAAAATTTGGGTCACACTGGTGAACTGACAGGTGAACAGGCAAGTGCAGGATGCTAAAGACCTACTATGACAACAGAAAAACTATGTTTTTCAAGAAGAACAAGAAAATAAGACATATGCATTATCAATGTGGTCCTTATGTATGGAACATGCAATTTTCATGTGAAAATGGCCTTGAAGGTGATAATTGAAGTAAAGATTATATTTTCTGTACATTTCTATTGACATTTCCACTGTCATTAACATAGGTGTTTGTTTCTAATGCTCTCTCTTAGGTTTTGTAAGCAAGGAAACAGGCATTTTCATTGTGAAAATGTTGACGTCTATTCTAAGTACTCTGTACACATTAATTATTTTACTAATAACTTGTGGCCTTGCTAAGTGCATGTCATACATCATAGTAGGAAACTCCTGGCAGAACAGGAAGAGAGGTTACAAAAGTGGCCTGCCACATAGGAGAAGAAAGCTAAGCACATGTACTGTCAGTTCAAGCAAGTGGCATTCATGGAGCATGCAGTTGTCATTTATGAAGGCTGCCTTGGGTATGACAGTTGAAGCAAAGATTCTTGGTAGACTTTTGTTTGTGCTTATGTTTCAACATGTTTTTATATCTTATGTTCTCTCTTAGTTTTTGTAAGCAGGTACACAGCTGTGTTGAAAATGTTGATGTTTATTCTATATGTGCAACACATGTTAAGAATTTAATGCTTTATCTTACTGATATTCCATGTTTCTGTTAATTTCACACCACATAATATAATAAGAATCTCCGGACAAAACAGAAAGACCAGCAAGATGTCAAGTACATCCTACAAAAAGATCAGGAAAGCAAAACACATGTGTTGTCAGTGTAAGTGATCTGTGAGAATGGAATGTGCTATTGTGTGTGCAGACTGCCTTGGGTATATAATTGAAGTAAAGACTTTTTTGTAGAGTACTATTTCTATTTTCATTGTAGTTTATATAAGAATTTATTTGTTATCCTTTTTAGACTTTGTACACCAAAAGCTAATTGACATTGAAAATTTTGATGCTTTTTATAAACATTCAATAAATATTAAAAATAAAATACTTTATTTTTGTGATTTTTCCTGTCATTCATTGTTTAATATAATAAAACTCAGACAATTAAAATTAATAATTCATAAGTGGAGATATTCTAAAGAATAAATGTGGGTTTGCCACACCCATACTTATGAGACTTTATGTCAGAAAATGTGTTACACTCTGCTTAAAGAAGATTAAAAAGGCTTGATGATGAAAACCTCTGAATGAGAAGGGCTTAGACAATGAATGATCACTGGCTGACTACAAATCAGACAATAGAGAGACTGAACTTTTATAGATCCTGAAATGGAAGCAGAAAAGAGAGATTGAACTCCCAGTTTAAAAAAAATGAGGGTGGCAAATAAAGGATTTAATGAAGACCAGGTGTTAAACAGCTGTATTTCCATCCTGCATCCTAAAATAAGCAGATGGAACACCACAAACTTCCTAACCAGGCTCATGACTTGGCTCTGCATCCCTTTAGAAATGGTCCACTTTAATGGTATGACCCTAACGGAATTCTTGCTTCTTTATCTACTTTGGGGACATTTCTAGGCATTCATATAGATATTTATCAAGTAAGAATCCTGTTATGTAGGCACTTCAATTGTGATCACAATCATAACAAAGGTGCATAAATGAATTGCATCTTTAATATTGTAATCTGCCTATATTATGTATCAGTAAGGTGATATTTAAAAACCAGTAAAAGCCTGATACGGTGGCTCATGCCTGTAATCCCAGCACTCAGGAGTATGAGGGAGAAGGATCATTGCAAATTCGAGACCACCCTCGAATACAAAGTGAGCTGCAGGACACCTTGAACTGTATAGCAAGATCTTGTCTCAAAAAGACCAAAAACAAACAGACAAACACCACTGTATATTTGATGAAGAAAGGGGCATCAGAAAGGATCAACAAACCAGAAAAAACTTGAATTAGTTGCTTATGACATTCTTAATTTACTTTCCAATACTGTTTGCTTCATAAAGAACGTTAGAACATTTTCATGCTCTGTACCCAACAAGTTTTATGCCTGTGGGACCGTTGGGTTCCCTCTGTCCAGACCACACATGGCCAGGTCAGGCCTTGCATAAGTCCCATACCTGTGCTGTCTTCGTACACCACGGTCACTGTTTTCCAGTTGTAATAGAGGACCAGATCCAGGACTGCCCTGCTGATAGCTGCATAATCTGGGTACAGGTTGATGTAAAACAAGTCTTTATTGTCCACTGAAGGGTGCTTCCATCGAGTCTGTATGTGTGGAACTTCCAGAGCATTGCAAATGGACTGCACAGCGCTGACCGAGGAGCTATGAGAAGGGCCGAAGAGAGCAGCCACACCGAGAGCTAACTGGTCACAGGCTGAGGGTGTCCAGGGTGAAGAGGAGCAAAGCGGGCAAGGAAAATGGGAGAGAAAGACAGCTATGAATATTATTTTTCCTTTCATGATTCCTCTTTTTAATTTAGCTGTTGGAAAATCTCCTATACTTCTCATCTGTATGCTAAGCAAATATCCTTCTTCAACTTCCAATATTCTTGAGATACCAAGATAATGATAGACGTAAATGTAGGTCTGATTAGCAATACATCACAGGGCCAACTCCCTGCAAATAAAAATGAGCTACTGGTCTCACTTCATTACCTTTAATCAGATGGAGTCCAAATCGTTTGCTCGATGTGGTGTTACCCAGGGGCACTCTGAGAGATAACCAGCAAGCTATTTGTCAAATAAACTTCCAATGAATTAAGTTCTGTCACACAGCAAGGTAGTAATGAAGTTAGCGTGACCATGGAATTCAGGAAAAAGTCACCTTTTGGTGACTACAAAGTACTTTAGCTCTTATCTTCCCAAAATTCAGAGAGGAGTCCTGGATTATTGAAATATGGATAAAGAATGTTCATGGCAGTGCTGATACCTATTTAATTACTGAAAATGCACTGCCAAAGCTTAATGGGTCTTAGAAGACATTTATTTGGCCCACCCCCTCACTGCAGAGCAAAGGGACACCAGTCAATCAGGTCACGTTCCACCTTGGTATCAGCCAATATGCAGCCTAATATGATGAAGTTACTATGTATTTAAGAACTTATTTATAAATTAATTTTTCTTATTATGACAGCATTTGCATTGAGTGAATTCACAATACTTAAAATACATCAAGGACCAAAAGACTTTGTAATTAGACCATCATCTTGGGATAATTCCTGAAAAAACTGGGATCTTTATGCAAATACAGTTTTCATCTTTTGCTTTTTTCATTCCACATGGTAGCATGCCTTTCTTTTAAGTCATTACAAATTCTTCAAAGGTATATTTTTAGTATCTGTAGACTATTCCATTAATTTAACTAATTTATAATATTTAAGCTTTCTTTTTATTTTAATTAGATTATATTAAATTTTTCTCTTTATCTTAGGTTATTACTTTAGTGTAGATTTCCAGGGTTAACAGCTATAATTAAAGCACTTTGATATTTTAAAGTTGTAATGATACATATTAACCAAATTTACCTCTAGGAAGTTTGGAGTATTTTATCCCCTATAACCATGTAAAATAGTGGTTATGAATTTTATGCTGGTAAGCATTAAACATAAATTTAAATGCATTTTAAGAATTATGTTATGATTCTATTTAAAGGAATGTAGAACTGCCAAGAAATAAGATTGTACATCAGGATTGAATAACAGCCAAATTTATAAGTGAAATTATATGCTTTTTATATCATAGTGCCATTTTACAAACAAAATAAAATAGAAAAATTATGGCTCTATAAAATTTCTGAGTTCCTTAAAAATAATAAAATTTGATAACTGTATTACAGTTGTCTCAAGAATAGCAGATATTGACACTCATACCAAGGAAAACTTTCTGATCCTGTAATGTTTGACACTGTCTACATGAATTATGGAGAATTATGGTTGTGTGTGTTTTGCTGTAGGTGTGAATTGACATTGTCTTCAGAAGCTAGTTTTCTAGATATGTTTTCATTATTTACCCAGATAAAATAGGACCATGAGAGTATGTAAACTGTTATTTTTTCCAACATGAGCAATGGATGAAATTCTTACTAATACCTGACTCTGGGATACTAATATTACTTGACAGAAAATCAATTCTTTTGATTTCTGTTTCCAGAAAATTACCAGTTTCAAGAAGCTTTGGGCGTTTAATTTACAAATATAAAGTAAAGCAGATATTTTAGATCGTAAGAAAGCTTTTAATTTTTATGTGGGTTGAAATATCATTCCTAAATGTTTTTGTCATTCTATATTTGTTCAGTTCTGTGTGTGAGTGTGTGTGTGTGTATGTGAGAGAGAATCAAGAATATAACCCGGAGAAATCATGCAGTGAGGGTAGCTTGTAAACCTTAAGGAGCTGTATAATCATGTTTTATTATTTGTTCATAGACAACTCTGACCTATATGACGCCACCAATTCTATCCATTTTGAAAAAGAAACTATAAGCAAACAAAAAAGGGTATTAAGCAAGCACATGCTGTAATTTAGCTAGGTTAACTCAGTTAACAACCAGTATTCAAGCATTTGCAAATGAACATGAACAGGGTACTGACTGGATTCTGTTTATCTGCATAGCCATATGGTTCAAGGAACCACTCTGTGATAAAGAGAGCTTCTATGCTGTGAAACCTTATTCTCATACAAAATTCTCATCTGATAGCTACATAGTACCTGTATGAATCTTTCCATGAGCAAAAGCTTGCAGCCTGTCTATAAATTAGATAATTTTTGAACCACTTGTCTTGTGTTCATAAAAAAAAAATTCAGACTGCTCTCTCAGATTTAATCTTTGCATCTCTATGACTTTGTATAAAGGACTATTAAAAATGCTAGGAAATCTCTGCTAAAATTCAGGGAGTGACTTATGTGTGTTCTGTGCATTTTCACAAGTTCAGTGCATGTGACCTTCTAAAAGTTTTATTTGACCATACAGTACAATTTCATGGTGTTATCTCTGTTTCAGGAAGGAAAAACAGATCAAGTTTGACGTTTTGCACTCACAGCTGAACTAGTTAATCATGGAGTGGAGGGTACTGAAGGGTAAGCTAATCAGAAAGGTCCAAAAACAGGGCTAGGCAACGTCCATTAGGCTAGTGCAGATTGTATTGATTAGTGATATAGAGGACTGAGATTTCTTACAACTTCTTTGGACTAAGATGTCCATTTTGACAAAGGGCAGATAACAAAAGAAAGGTGACTTGGAGAGCAGGTAAATCACCCAAAGAAGCTTTTAAAAGTGGGAAAATAGTTACCTCTGCGGGACGCTTCAAAACTATCGAAAAGATTAATTCTCTGGATGTCATAGGTTAATGTGGTGTTAGGCATCAAGGTTCGGTTTCTGTTAATGCTGGTGACTGCAAACTTGAAAGCCAATTCTTCAAGATTAACAGGTTCATTTTCCACAGTTTCAAAAATCCCCCCTGCAGAAGCAAGAGATATACATATATATGAGCAACATTAATCACGTGATTCACGCATGTTTTTAAAAAAGAAGAATGTAAATTCTAAATAAAAGACCTAACATGATAAACGCAGAAATGGTCAAAGCAGATTCCCAAATCAAGGCTGGAAGTTTATCAGCATATGCCATATGCAATCAATAGGTCTCCCTGCACACCAGTACTTAAGATTTTTCAATCCAGGTTTGGATACCTCTCCGATGATCAATGTATTCCAAATACTTTGAACTATGAATATATAGGTGATGTGAAGGTAGATAGCAATTTTCTATGGTTTGCACAAAGATCACATATGCTTGACCCAAACATATTTTGAACTGTCACAGAAAAGACTGTGTAAATTTCAAGAAACTGAGTAAAATGTGTAATCTTCCTGTTTGCTTTTTCATTCATATCCTACCTTGAAATTTATGTAAAAAGAGTTATTTCATAGTGGCTTTCGTCCTTGGAAAGAAGATCTTTCTATTTGGAAGTAGACTTCTAGACTCTAAAAAGATTGGGCAGAGAGCTGAGTGAGATCAAAATGGAATACATACTTTTACACTATTCAGAATGGAAAGATTTTTCTATGATTTCTGGACTAGAATTTGGGTATCATATTTTAGTGCTTCAGAGACCTGTTTTTTTTTTCTCAAATTTTTGATTGTGTCCAAAAGCAAACCTACATCCCATCCCTGAAGAAACACATTACTCAATGACTAAGAACAGATGCCATTAGCTCTGCTATTTTAAACATGAAACTCTCAGTGCAAACAATAATATGAAAATTAGTGCTTAAATGGAGCTGTGACTTGGAGACATTGATGATGAATAGAGCATATTATTAACTGTACATCATTAATATTTTTTTACTGCTTTTCTGAGGTTATCAATAGACAGAGTATGAAGTAGAAGACCTCTTAAGTACATTCAATTCACTCACTCCTTGACTCATTTTTTAAAGTATATGTTATCTGACATCATAAAATATTGAATACTTGTAACTATACGGTTTCTATTTACCTTGACTAACCATTGAGCAATGCCTTACCAAAACTTGGTTGTGAAGACTTTTTCCAAATGTGTCTATGCTAGACTGATTTGTGAATGCTTTAAGTTTTCCCTTGACTCAAGAAAGAAAAAAGGATATGAAAAAAAAACTCAACAGAAAGTGACAAATAAATTTCAAGAGTATGATTTATGTACATTCATTCTTAGAAAACTCCAGTTGACAGGCTCTAATTAAAAGTAATTACCTTGATCCTACTTTGAAAGAATAATAAACAAATGCATAGCTGTAATTTTTCTGCTAAGCTGACCTTATTAAATAACCCACCACAGTGTTGGGTTGTGAAAATTTAAAAGGCTCTGAAATAATTTGGCTCTTTTTTTTTATGACTATTTTTGGTACATACAGCTTGATGATATGAAACCTTTAAGTAAAGTTGATTCCCTTGTTGTTTGAGAAACCGTAGTTGAAATCTAAATGGTGATTTTGTGTGATCATGCTCATCTTCACCTCAGGGGCCATATGGGATAATTCTCTCTAAAATCAGTGTTAGGAGAATTTTTGCTCTTGAAATAAGTTTATGTTTTTCCTTTGTCAGACAACTATGAGAAGGAATTTGGGGATGAAGTTTCCATTTTTCTCAGTTGTTAATGAATGCTTAACAGGGAAGTTAGAAATCTCTTAAAATAGCCCCTCGGTCACCAAAGGAATGTGGATGGAAGGTGGACTTCTGGTCATGATCAAAGACACCCACACAGTGGGCTCTTTGGGGTTAAATGTATTCACAATAATTATTAACAGCTATTTCTTTACTTGTTATGTGCTCAGCTTTAGTGAGAACTCTCATGGAGAGAGACAGTATGTCTTACTCAGAATCACTGTCACAATGGAGACCCAGGTTCTACAACTTCCAGGCTGAAACATTCAGGAAACATGTCACTCACAGGCTAGATATAAGCACCACTAAGTTTATAAAAGACAACAAACATTTGAATAGAAAACAGAAGTTCTGATGAATGGTCATTAGCTTAACTTTTCCTGGGTTAGAATTTTTAAATATTAGGAAGAAAGTCACTATGAAATAACTCTTTTACATAAATTTCAAGGTAGGATATGAATGAAAAAGCAAACAGGAAGATTACACATTTTACTCAGTTTCTTGAAATTTACACAGTCTTTTCTGTGACAAATTTAGATGTTTCTATCCAATACACACAATTCAAGTTATTTCTATCATTTTTCATCTCTCAGTGTGATCTAGTAATGCTCCCTCATTCCAGTACTCTGTAAAACAAATATACAATGCAGTCAGAGTACTCTGGAAACAAAATTCTTTCCAAGAAGTAGATTAGTATTATTACACATGGATAATTGACATACAAAACAAGTTGGCACCAATCGTAAAACTTCCTGCTCACCTCAGAATTACTCCTTTAGTGTAGAGTTGCCCTTTATACAAAACAACGTAACTGGGTCTAAGATAATTACTTAAGTGTTTTATTATGTGCTTAGGTTGTGTGTAGCTGAATTCTGTTTTGTCATTTTGAGAGCAATTTCTTTCACTTCATCAAATGAGAATTCTACATGGTGTCATTAGCTCAGCACCCCACTCCACTTTCCTGTTCTACTAGAAACGGCGTCTGATAAATAACACAGTCTTACAGTGATGAGAGTAGACAGAGTGCTGGAGAAATACCAAGAGAATCAAATCTGATAAAACCAGGAGGAAGTTATTAACAGAAGACGGACTAATATTTCACAGGAAGGTAAACTGGTTAAGGTTGACCCATTCCCTCCCTGCTCCTTCTTACTGTGCCTCAGATATGTGACGTGGAGTTTCTGATAAACGGGGAAGGACACATATCCAGAGATTCTTCCTGTCTCCCCTCCCTCCTCCCCTCCCTCCCTCCTTCCTTCCTTCCATTCTTCATATTTCCTTTTTTCTTGCCTCCTTTTCTCCCTTCCACATTCTATTTTCCTCTGCCTCTTTTTCCTCTTTCCTCTCTTCTTTCTCCCTCTCCATCTTTGTGATCTTTGTGGGTGCGAGAGATGTCAATAAGCTATATTTAGGGGTATGTGTTCGTATATAGTGTACTTTGGATCCCAGCTTTTTGTGACCCAGGGTCTTGGTGGTCAGAGAGGAGAAATCCCTACTTCATTCATTCCTTTGGTCTTCTTCCTCCTCCACTCTGCACCTCACCCATCCTCTCCTCCTTCCCACTTTCTCCTCCTAAGTGTACCTCTGTCTCTTACTCCCTTATTCAGGCATAACTTCTGCTTCCAAAAAGTCAGTGGGCCAAGTAAGGTATAAAGAAGAAAGGAACAGCATCCTATTCCAATTATTTTAAAAATTTTATTTAAAGAGAAAAAACAGGAAAAACAGTACAAGTAATCCAGAATTTCAAAAAAAATAAACATTAAGAAATTACTAATTGATAAATTACATATTCTCAGGTTAGAAATAGCTGTTCAAGATACAAAATTAAAGCATAAAAATTGGACATTCAAACTGAGAGTGCAAACAGTTCTGTTCAATGATCCAACAATAACTTAGTAATATGGTTATCTGTCTTATACACTTAAGCATGCATGCAGTTATGTCTTCTAGAGCACTTTCTTTCCATCTATTTTTTTACAGTGATGATGATACATTTTGGATTTTATTACTTCTACAGTTCTTATTACTTTTTACACTAGAGACACAACATGATATTTATAAGTATGATTCTTATTTATTTCACTTAAGAGGATAGCCTCAAGTTGCCTCCATTTACCTATGAAGGCCTCGAGATCATCCTTTTTATAGTTGAGTAACATACCATTTTATAAAAATACACATCTTTTTCATCCACTCTGTAGTTAATGGGCATTTTGGTTATTTCCAAGATTTAGCTCTTACAAATTGTGCTGCTATGAACATGGGTGCACATATGTCACTGTGACATGAGCTTTTTAGTTTTTCTGGGAAAATACTCAGGAGGATATTAGCTGGATTGCATGGAACTTTCAATCCTAGTCTTCTGAGAAATCTCCATACTGATTTCCATGCTGCTCGGTCTACACTCCCACCAACAGTGGAACAGTGTTCTTTTTCCCCACATCCTCACCAATGTTTGTTATCAGTTGATTTTTTAGTGGCAGCTATTCTTTCCAGAGTAACATGAACTCTCAATGCTATTTTAATTTGCATTTCTTGAATGACCAGTGATGTTGAACATTTCTTCATATATTCATCTACAATTTGTTTTTTCTTTTTTGGTCTTTTGTTCCTTTTTATCAGTACCAAGGATCGAACTCATGACTGCCTTCTTGCAAGGCAGGTGCTTATGCCGCTGACCTAAATCCCCAGCCCCTTCATTTGCAATTTGTATATCTTCATCTGAAAACTGTGTTCATCTCACATGCCCATTTTTGGAGAGGGTCTTTGAATTTGAGGGGCTTGATATTTTCCAATTCTTCATATGTTCTGGATATAGATCCTTTGTCTAAGGGGTTGCTGGCTAAAATTCTTTCCCATTCTGTGGGTTTTCTTTTCACTCTGTTGGGGATTTCTTTTGAAGTGCAAAAACTTTTTAGTAAGATGAGATCCCAGTTGTTGATTCTTTGAAGTCTTTCCCGTGCAGTTTGCATTTTGGTCATGAATTCTCTGCCTATCTCTATGTCTCCAGACTTCTACCTACTTTGTATTCCAGTAGATGTAGTGTTTCTGTTTTAATATTTAGATACTTGATCCATTTTGATTTTAGTTTTATGCATGGTTATAGGCGTAGGTCTAGTTTCAGTCTTCCACATGTGGAAAGCCAATTTTTCCAGCACCATTTACTAAAGAGGCTGTCCTTCTTCTAGTGAACATATTTAGCCCCTTTGTCAAATATCAGGTGCCTGAGTGTCTTTGTAGTTGTGCTTGCATCTTCTAATCTGTTCCACTGATCCTCAGGTCTATTTCTTTGACAGCACCATGCTGGTTTTATCA